CAGAACACAACAGGCCAATCAGAAGAGAGGCTCATGAATATTAATTAGACAGGCCAAAATCAACCTGTTCTCAGCAGAGCTCCTGAGAAAGGAGCTGTAAAAATATAATGAGATGGTTTTTGGTACTTATACCACAAATAAATATTCTTAAGGACATCAAAACCTAAAATAAAACTCCAGAAAGGTGTAAAATATGGGACCTTTAATAATATATATTTAATAATTTAAAATATGAATAAATATTAATACTAATTCAAGATTTGCTTGATTCAATAAATGCACGATTCCCCCCCCACTGTAATAATCTCTCTCCTACTATCTCGGTCTGTCTTCCATGATCTGCAATGACGCTTGATCTCAGACATAGTTAAATCACAATTCCCATCCGGTTGTGTAGTTTGACACATTTTTGTCTGTTTACAGCAACTGCTGGATGACTACCCCAAGTGTTTCATCGTGGGCGCTGACAATGTCGGCTCCAAGCAGATGCAGACCATCCGTCTGTCCCTGCGGGGCAAGGCCGTCGTGCTCATGGGCAAAAACACCATGATGAGAAAGGCCATCCGTGGCCACCTGGAAAACAACCCGTCCCTGGAGAGGTGCGTGTCAGCCACAGTAGACAAAGGCTTTTAAAGTATTTAGTGTGCAATCTCTATAAAATTATAGATAAAACTGCCCTGCAGCTTAATGTCACATTTCTTAACAAACATTTTTTTTTGTTTTGGACAACAATTTGAGGTAAAGTCTTGTATTTTCCCTTAATTGGCAAAAAACACCACAAAGACGCAATTCCTGTCTAAATCTCAGCCACATTACAACTATTTGCTCAATTCTTAGCAAGTTTTCACATGCATGATTCTGATGTTTTCTGCATCTGTGGGTGTTTCACTACATCTAAACCGCCACAGAAAAATTGTGAAAACTTTGACCACAAATGGAATATTTGAGAATTGTTCTTTTGCAGAATTTACATTAAATGTAAAAAATTGAATATTGCCATTAAAATCAAAGCTGCTTTGACTGCTTTTTATATTAAAGTGCATTTAAGCTCATACATGTAATTTAGAAAGTCTTATTAGTCAATTTAAATTTTAAAGCGAAAGTTAAATGTCATTTTGAACTCCGCTTCATCAAATGAGAGATTATTAGACTTGGTTTAGATTAGATTTTATTTTAGTTTTGGCCTATTTTTGACCTGCTAGTTGAATTTAAGATGCAGGACTGTTATAAATCTCCTTTAGTTTCAATTCCTGAAAATTGACCGCCAACAGATGATTTCAACAAATTCCTTGTGAAACATATCGACCTTCATTCGCTCATCAAGTCATTACAAATGCTGATCCAGAGATGCAGGATAAGTTATAGACCGGCTGTGGCAGTGCTGGTTTATCGTTCCCCCTGCACAAATAAACCTGTTTCCTTCTATCCCTGTGTGTTTGCATCCCACGGCTCACAGGGACGCTTGGTCTCAGACACTCTGCGTTAGCTGCAGGTATAAACTTTAGTTTCTAAAGAACTCCAGGTGAATGTTTGATTTATCCCCGTGTTTTGCAGGCTGCTTCCCCACATCCGCGGGAACGTCGGCTTCGTCTTCACCAAGGAGGATCTGGCTGAGGTCCGGGATCTGCTGCTGGTGAACAAAGTGAGTATCACTGAGCGACTGGGTGAATGTCTGAGGTTCTTCAGGGCTTGAATGCATCTCTTCATGTCACTGTTATCCTGTGTGTTTGCATCCCACGGCTCACAGGGACGCTTGGTCTCAGACACTCTGCGTTAGCTGCAGGTATAAACTTTAGTTTCTAAAGAACTCCAGGTGAATGTTTGATTTATCCCCGTGTTTTGCAGGCTGCTTCCCCACATCCGCGGGAACGTCGGCTTCGTCTTCACCAAGGAGGATCTGGCTGAGGTCCGGGATCTGCTGCTGGTGAACAAAGTGAGTATCACTGAGCGACTGGGTGAATGTCTGAGGTTCTTCAGGGCTTGAATGCATCTCTTCATGTAGCTGTTGTTGTGGTCTGTGATGGTAGGTGCCCGCTGCTGCCCGTGCCGGTGCCATCGCCCCGTGTGAGGTGATCGTCCCGGCTCAGAACACCGGGCTCGGCCCTGAGAAGACCTCCTTCTTCCAGGCTTTGGGAATCACCACCAAGATCTCCAGAGGAACCATTGAAATCTTGGTGAGTCGCAGAAATGGGCGGTCAATCAAATCCTGTTCTCAGTTACAATTTTGGCTTCCAATGATTATAAAGACAAGATTAAATATTTTAAATTAAATTGATTTCTTTTTTTTCCGCAAATACCTTATTTTAAGTGTACAAGCTTTTTTTTTGTTTTTTTGGTTTAAGAAAAATTTCAAATATTTGAGTCTATATATATATATATATATATATAATGTTTTTTTTTTTTTTTTAATTTCAAAGTTCCAAAGATAAATGAAGGTCTTACAGGTTTGGAACGACGTGAGGGTAAGTAATTAATGACATCATTTTTATTTTTTTTCCCACTGTATATGTATATATATATATATATATATATATATATATATATATATATATATATATATATAATGTTTTTTTTTTTTTTTTGTAATTTCAAAAAAATAAATATTTAAAATATTTAATCTTGTCTTCATAATCATTGGAAGTCATATTTATTTATTTATTTATTTTTTACATATTTTAAGACCACCGTTGTGCCTCATTCAGTTTAGCAGTGAAGCTCAACATTGTTTGGTCTAATTTCTTTATAAAATATAGAATTTTTTTAAATATTTATTTAACACATTTTCTTTACAATTTTGACTTCCAATGATTATGAAGACAATATTAATATTAATATTATTTTTTAAAATTATAAATACCTTATTTTAAGTGTATTCTTTTTTTGTTTTAGAAAAATTTAAAATATTTTATATATAGATATATATATTATTTATTATTATATTTTTTTTTACATATTTTAAGACAACCGTTGTGCCTCATTCAGTTTAGCAGTGAAGCTCAACATTGTTTGGTCTAATAAT